TGCTGCTTCTTTTAAAGTAAGACATAAATAAATGTGCTAGATCTGCAGCTAAATATTTTTTATCACTGGAATGCATCAAGAGATTGTAAGCACTATTTTTGCAAGTGAAAAAATGTAAAAGTCATGCATCAAAATATTCTGTATTTACACTGTGTAATAAAAGTACCAATACTCTGATGCTGATCAGTGACTAAGAATATCACTGTCCTTTTCACTACAAGAGAAAATTCTCATCGCTTAATTTCAATCTTTCTATTCTTTTGTCTTTATTTCTGTTACAAATTAAATCTTACCACTGATTTATATCACAGACCCCTTTCAAACTACCAAACTTGAATGGAGTGATATATGTTGATATATACTGTAAGTAACTCAGTGGTCTTGACAAATCAAGAAATATTTGCCTTAGGAAACTGCTACCACTAGAATTCAGGAGAACGTATATGATGCCTTCAGCGCTGCTTGTTCAGTGTTGTTGCCTGGGGAAAAGGGGGCGTGTGGTTTGGAGAGTGAAAGCTGGACCAATGTACCAGCTTCTCACTGTGTCCAAACTCTCTACTCTTTCATTGAGCAAATATTCCATTCACTGCAACTAAAGATGTGCACAGTGTAAGGACTGTGAAACTTGGTTCTGTGATATTGATAGCAACAACTATCAATAGTTATATCAAGCAATCAAAACTGTTTCTGTTACATGCAACAATCTGCAATTTTATTCTGGGACTTCCAGAGTATGAGTATACATTTGTAGACTCATTTTTAATTTACTAACAAAACACAGAACTGGAATTAAAATTACTTTCCTCATCTTGTAAATTGAGTGTAACATGAAGCTCACAGCACTATGAATATGAAATAAAAGTTTCAAAATTCTTCATGTAAACTTGTGACGTGTTTTTACATGAAAAAAATACGGAAAATGAATAAACTGGCTGATGTGATTAACTTTTTCGATTAACAGTTAAACAAGTGCTTATTGCTTAGAGTCTGAAAGGATTGGTTATGGGCTTTTTTTTTCCCTCTCATATAAGGTGTGTTTTGTTTGTACACATTTTCCAGAGAGAAAAAAAAGTGTTAATGGAACTCCTAGCCAGCATATTTACCCTTCACAGATTTTCATTATGTAAAAAGTCATTCAGGAAGACCAATGGATTATGCATCTCTAAATGCTTTCTCTCAATACGATTATGTAAGTCTTTTAATGCGGGAACAGATCGGGACAAAATAGTGTCCATGTGAGCAGCATTTGCTATGGTAAGCATACAGTAAAAGTGGGATTAGGCAAGAGTGCCTTTTTTCTCATACAGAATTATCAGCCTTCAGAGAAGAACAAGAAAAGCAAAGTCGACGTATGCACATGTGTACATACAAAGATGTATGCAGATATATCTTAAACTTATACCAGAGTATGCTTTTTATCAAATACAGAACACCAGTACCAGAATGTTAGGCTATGGCTTCCCAGTAAGATATAGTGTCTTATATCCAGTGTGACAAAGAATATAGCATCTCTGAAACTGTCTACCTAAGAGTAAAAATATCTTGACTTATCACAAGTTAAGTCAATGTTATTTGAAAGGCAACTCTTTTCTCTCTATTTTCACAGCACAAGATACTTTCTATTAGAAGAAGGTGGTCCCAGACGGCTAGATTCTATCATCCATTCTGACACCTTGTTTGTGGAATATTGTGAGGCAGATGGAAATGTAATTTAATCAGTTACCATTGATTAAGCCTTTTGAAAGGTGAAAAGTCACATGGCCTCTAACTGATGTAACTGTTCTTCATCTCCGTACTAAGCCAAGCACAAACAGCACAAGCTTTTTTTTATAAAAGCAGCAACCATAAGGTCATACTGCTACATTAGGAAAAAATAATATTTCAAATGTAATTTCTTTATATGATCTTGAAGCAGCTATATATAGACAGCATAATCCTTTGAGGAAAAAAATCTAGTATGTTAACTGCCTTGTAACTATATACATACATATATTTGAGAGAGACAGAGAGAGATACACAAGAGAGAGAGTCAGACATATTTCTGAGTGCTGGATCCTAAAGGAAACAGTCTGAATCTTTATTCATACAAACCATTGCTCAGTATAGCAGGAAATTAAATGTGTAAAGACTAGTCATGTAATTAAAGGCTGCCGAATTAGTACCATAATTTCAGTTTGCATGAAAGCTGTAATCCACTATGCGTCTGTTGGAAGCAGAAATTTCCACTGTTGTTAATACTATCTGTAACCTAGTTTTCTGATCTGCTTTGATGTCTTGCAATGTTATTTTATATGAAGGTGGCTATAAATTTATTTCATTTTAGTCAGTCTTGATGCTATAATTAAAACCTGCATTTTCTAGAGTTTACATTTTGGAAACAATACTTGATAGAATGTACAATGAGTACAATGAATTTGTTTTGCTTTATTTTCTTCATGTCTAGATTTTTTTTTGCTATTTGCTTTTTATTATTCATTACCTCTGGCTATTTATTGTATGACATGAGCTAATCAATCTAAAAGCTTTAAAATCTGCTATTTTGAAACAAGCCAGTTTAAGAAGTAGTATATATGCTCATTAAACTGTTCCTTTTTGATACTTGATACTTGTGGCGATAACATTTTGTTAGTAGGCACTATATCTGCATGGAGATGGAAAGAGATGCAAACAAATTAAAACCAAGAACTGACCTACCATAACTGTGTGCAATTCACAGAAAACCATTTAAGCCAAATTAAATTGTGAAATAATGGTGGACCTTGTTTTTCATCTAAAATTAATTATTACAATGGTATGATCTGGATTGATCTGTCACGCAGCAGACATACACGATAATTTATGCAGTGGTACACCATAAATTAAGTGGTTTAACTGCTATGTATTCTAGACGTGAAGAAAAACAAAACAAAAACCAGAAAGCTAGTTTTATAATCATTTCTACACCTCTAGTGACCTGAATCCTTTTTCTTTAAAGGAATCGATGTTTTTCATTTTTCAAAAGTCTCACAAGCAGTAGTTGACATGGAGAGAAAAACACTTAAGTAATCCACATTGCTGAAATATGATCCCACAAAGAATCATTATCAGTTAAATAATCTTACAGTGTTTCATCTGATATAATTTTTGCATAGCTGCAGCGTGCTTTGCTTTTCAATACAGCACTGTCTGGTTTTGAAAACAACCAACTGAAACACAAACTTATCCAGGGTCCACTGACCTGAGGCAATTGTGTGTTCTGGCATAAAGGTACAAGAAAGACAGTTTGAATTCTTATTTTTTAGCAAAAACACTTTTTTAAAATGATTTATATCTAACAAAACTGACTCTCCAGCCTTCTTTTATCTCTTACTAAGTGTTAGGAGTAGTTATTAATATCTCTAATTAACTCTTGCTATGGGGAGACTTTTCTCCAAGGTAGTCTCCCATATTCCTGGTCTACACACAGGCACTTGAGGTACAGTGCAGAAGAGCCCAAATGAATACAGAACGCCCTTGTGCTGGCATATTTCTGCCGCAGTGATGGAATAGACCAGTATTCTTTTTTTAAGGTCAACATTCCTGAGGAATAGAGCATCTGACATTTTCCAGTCCTCCTGAAATCACTCTTGACACTATACAAGTTTTAAGCAATCTTAAAAAATAAATATAAATAAGAATTCAGATATAAGATCTGCATTTTAGCAGAATAAATTTAAGGAAGTTTGAAATTGAAAAGTCTTCTGTTGAGCACTTAATTATACTCTTCACATTACGTAGTAGGAAAAGGTACATGACTTCTCTTACTACATGACTACTTTTTTGAGGTTTGCATCAAACACCTTCCGGACAAGAATTAAAAAATATTCAACTTGTTTAATTGAATTAGGAAAAATAATTATATTTGTTATTAACATTGTGTTCATTTGGAATTGAAGTAAACATTCTGTGCCCAGCCCGTGGGTCAAAGGAGCTGCCTATATTGGCAGAGCAAATCCGAGCTCCTGGCCCTGCCTGCATTTTTGGGGCACAATCCTGCAGTGCTAGCTGTGAAGACTTTGAAGTCATTTGACATTTACATCTCGTCTATTGCACCATAGCAAACTTGGTGCTTGGAAACCTTGGGAAGTGTCAAGTGGCTTCTGGAGTGACAGCGACTGCCATGCAGAAGTTCAGCGCCTGTAAACCCCGTGCGATCACCTTCGCTTTTGCCCTCTAGGACACCGTTTAGGGGATTACGGGTACTGCCGCGATTGGGGCATTACGGCCTGTTCCTGATACGCCTCCGCGGCGCCGAGGCCAAGCCCCTCTGCGGCGCCTGCAGTGGCTCCTCCGGGAGCGCAGGCGGCGGTGGCGCCGGGGCGGCCCCGGCCGCGATGAACCCGCGGCTG